TGAGAAACATCATCACCAACCGATAAACAGGTGATATATGACCACATGGCTCCTAAAGTATTGACGAACACTAACGGATGGCGCAGAAATAATTGCGCTCTCCGTATTTTCAAAATTTCTTCTCTCCCTTACACTACTCGGTCAGACTGATCTTTTTGCCAAAAAAATCCGCCGTTCAATTCTCTACAAAATAATATTTCTGAATATGGGAAAATCATTATTTTATTAAAATATTTTTAAATACTACAAAATAATGTACTTTATTTAAGGAATATAATCTCCTCCATTTTTTTGAATGCACCGTAATCGTACGGTGAAACCAAGTACAGAATGTAAAATGTTTGCTTTCTTACTTTTTTCACCGCACGTTTCAATTCTTCAATTAATGTGGCTTTTGTCGTGACATGTTCGTAGTTCATAGCCTGAACCAATTCATTCCAAATACTATAGTCTAACGGGTTCAAATCCGGCGAATTCGGTGCCCACCGGTCTGTTGGTATAGATGGAGACAAATTGTCGGCACGCCATTGTTGACTCAAACCATCTTTGTGAGCCGGGGCTCTATCCTATTGATACCTCCAACTACTGCCTAAATTCTTGTTCCTGCATTTGCGATCCACCTGAAGAATTTCTTGTATGTATCTTTTCCTTATGTTCCTCATGTATTGTTAGGCCTTCGCTACATGCACCTGGCCAAACCGTCACTTTTGTTGGAAATTTGTTTTTCATTTTGATGCCACCCTTCTTGTCAGCTTCCCGACGGTTGGCTGCCCATACCCGATGGTTCTGGGCATTGTACATGTCATCGAAATCGAAACATTTTTTCATCGGAAAAAGTCAGCTTTTTCTTTCGTCATTTGTGAAATTGTTGTGCACCCAATTTGCAAATTCGCTCTTTCTTTTTCTGGAGATCAATGATCTTCTGGTAGACAAAACACCCAAGATATTCGCTGGACGCTTCTTCTTGAAATTTCCATGTCGACAGTCAATTTTCTTGATCACACTGGTTTTTCCGACCTAATCGTTGTTTCACCTTTGTAATGTTTGCTTTTGTCCGTGCTGTGCGTGGACGACCGGAGGGCTTCGACAAATCGATAGTGCCGGTGTTGCTGATCATTCGTATCCACAAAGTAATTATTCACAATGAAACAGCACCAGCTAAATCTCGAAATATTCTGGCTGTTGGCAAAAAGATCAGTCCGATCAAGTGTAAAGGAGAGAAGAAATTTTGAAAATACGGAGAGCGCAATTATTTCTGCGCCATCCGTTAGTGTTCGTCAATACTTTAGGAGCCATGTGGTCATATATCACCTGTTTATCGGTTGGTGATGATGTTTCTCA